AAAAATAAAATACCCAAGGATTTGAACGGAAAACCTATAGCTAAGACCAAGTCAAAATACCCATGATCTTGGGTATACCCAAGCACAGTGGTCACGTACGCAGTATACTCTTTTGCTTTGTGAAAATGAGTACGCCGCGATAGCCTCTCATTTTCACAAAGGAATACACTCAGCTGGTTAGCTAACAATATGAAAATTTACATGCACCTGGGAAGAAAGGTGCAATCACGTTCTGTTGCCTAGCAAACGTCTGACTGTAGCGTGTGGGGGTGTAGGGGGAGGGCGCTAGCCTACGATGTACCGTACTGTGTATCAGCAGCGGGGGACGATGAAGCATAATATTTTATACAGTATATTAATTCTTATAAGATGGGCACCGCACCTGCATTATGGGCACCACTACTGTAGGTGTTGTTATATTTTATACATTAATCCTTAGATGGGCACCGCTACTGCAGGTGTTGTTATATTTTATATAATTATCCTTAGATGTGCACCGCCACTGCATGATGCAAGTTGCAACTGCTTTGCTGCCGCCAACGTTTCCATAGAACTATCGACACCGTCTCTCAATAAAGATACGATACAGTTTTTTCAAGAAAACTATTAATGGTATTATATTTTGTTTTATTAATAATAATAATTTTGTTTATATTTGTAATAATTTATAGCGCTTATAAATTATTACTTTTGGTCGCACTGGCTAGGCTTAGATAGGCCTAGTAGGCCGGCCAGTCTAGGTAGGGCGTGTTGTTAACTCCTACCCTACGCTAGGCTTGCTAGGCCTACCGCATGGAGTAGGAGGAGGCCCTAGCTAGGCTAGCTAGGGCTAGCCCCAGGCTAGCAAGGGCTAGCCCTGGCGGCTAGGCGTAGGGCTAGGCCTACGCTAAGAGTACACAAGGCCTAGACCTGTAGTAGTATAGTATTCTATGTCCTTGCTAGAGCTACTACTACTGTACTAAAATATGGGCCTACGCTGGAGCCGTAGCGCCTCTTTCTATCCTAGGCTAGACTAGGCTAGGCTAGTTTGTGTCTTTACATTGCCATTGGAAGTGGATATATTTACGTGACTGTAAATAAATCAGTAAACTATATATCTACGTGAAATAAATAACGCATGCGCAGTCATACTTTAATAAACTTGCATTGTTCACTCATGGAAATTAGCGTCGGCCCAAGGGCCAAGCCTACAACGAACGGCACAGATTTCATTAAAAGCATAATTTTGTTTTTAATAAACTTAATTTAGTTTCCTACTATAGTATGTAGTTTAATCATTAAATATATTATTAAATCATTGTGTTAACTTTTCAAATAAAAGTGATATTATCAGCTGGAAATATTTTTGTTCTTGTCATTTTACTTGCGTCATTTGAATGAAAAGTAAAGAATATGCGTCTGTTTTCTCTAAGGTATTTAATCATTACGAATAAAGTAAGACAAAACAAATATTTTTAATGTTTTATACTAACAAAAACAACATTGGCAATTAATTTCAATGAAATACCATGCTGTGCATTTTTCTACAAAATGGATGCAAAGAGCTTGTGGAATAAACAGCCTCACTTGTACGTTGTGGTCATGACGTGAGTGAAAAGAATACAAATAGGCTTATTTCCAGCTCATTGTCAAAATAATTCAATGATTTATTTAATGATTAAAGTGCATACTACTGTACCAAATTTTATTTGTTTAATAAGAACGGAGAAATTATAATTATCGAACGTCAAACCCTGTTGTAAACTGTTTACAAAAATTCATTCAACCAATTCAGGAATTCCCCATGTTGCTTTGCCGTCGACTCGATCGTATGTTGTTGAATAATGGGTTTTTTTTATAGACCAGAAACTTCTTTGTTTGTACAAAAACATGTTTGCTTTGGTCAAGTTAATGTAATTTAACATGACTATAAACACTACACGTTTGGGAGATTTGGAAACTTGCCAACAAAAGGGCCTTAGCAAATCAGTGCCGTGGTGAGCTTGGGCACCGTGGCTTAGGCCGACGCAAATTTCAAGTCCTGAAAGTTTAACCCAACTTGTACATTTAACCAGAAGCAATAAATTTACTTCAAAAGAAGCCCATCATCTCGAAAAGAAGCCCATCCAAAGTTCTTAAAAAAAAAAAAAAAAAAAGCAGTTTCATATTTTGTTACATTCTTTCTTGGTTTAGTTTCATTGATATTTTTGATGTAGTAGCAAATTACTGCATAAAAAAATGATTAGATACACTTTACCTACCAGTGGTGGACCCAGGAATGCAAAATAGAGGGAGGCGGCCTAGGGAGAAACTTTCACAGATGGAGAGATTTTACCACCTCAGCCCAGCCATGTGTTGGGATTGAGATAAGGAATTTCATGGTTATTGCACTTCTAAATTGCTGGAAATGGCAGTCTTAGACTTAAATTTGCATATTATTTTCCTTATTTCTCCATTTTGTTTTAATAGTTTTGAAAATTTAGTGGGGCCCTGAGCCAGTATGCCCCTCCCAACTTTTTGTCTGCCACTGCCTATTGGAAAAAGATAATCTCATTTGTAAATCTATCAATTAGTTAGTTGTTGTTTGTTTTATCCAAAGGATGAAGACCTAGCATAGTCATGACTGGGGCTATGATAGCAGTGGTGGAGTTCTCTCCAATGAAGAACTGCTTCATCAGCCTCCCAGCATCATGGGCTAAAGATTTATCACAAGTTCAGGTAAACTGTAGCTTTCTTATTTAATTCTTCAGTGCTAGTAATAAGTTGTAATTTTATCTGTGTTCTCAATTTTATTCAATTTTTTAGTTTTGGGTTTTCTAAGTATGGGCAGATTTAGAAAAAAATCATCCAAAATGCCTCAGAGGTTATTTTCAGGCATCGAGAAAACAAAATGTTGTGAACCCGCTAACCTAGTGTTGTCTCGATCGGCTCCACTTTCGGCTCCCCCCCCACTTTTCAGACAACTCTGGATCCGCGCCTGCTATGTATGATGTTATCTTGTGAATGCACCAATCTTTATTGTGTGCCACCGATTTAAACATGTGTGTTCAAATAAATATTATGCTATATTATATTATATAAGAAAAGTAATTAGTTAAATAAACAAAAAATTATTATTTGCACAGATAACGATTGTTCACAATGGAAATCTGATTATTTGATATAGACTAGAAATCATAAGAATATTAAATTTTAAAACTGTTTATATTCTGTGCCATTGGTAAACAGTGCTTTTATTTTCTACTTTAAAATTTTATTTGTGTAGTTTCCTACATTCCAACTGGAATGGGGTGATAGCAATAAGGCTTATGTAAGCTGGGCAGGAGATATTACAAGGCACAGTGATTCCAGAGATACAGAGGTGATCCAGTTGAATGGCTTATATGGCAACAAGCTTGGACTTTTGCATGGACAGGAGGTGTGTTGGTTCATCATTGTTAATAGTGTTCTGCCAAGTGAAGGTCCCATGTGACAGTCTCCAGTACACCCGGTTATCTGCATCCCTCTTTATCTGGTGGTAACTCCTTCCTTCCTCAATGTCATCTACCATCATCATTCTTCTTCTTCCACTTGGCCTTTTCCCTTTAATTCTTCCTTCTATCACATCTGTAGGTGTGGTTCACATACTTTCTAATTATTAACTTTGTCCGTCCGCTTGATGTTTGCCAAAGCAAAATTGGGATGGTTGCTTTTTATGGGTGTTGCCCTTAGTAGGAATTGTCCAAATGTCGTTTACTTAGATCAGTTTGGTAGTTTTTGAATTGTTTATTGTACTTGATAATGTTTTTTTAGGTTCTTGTGCAGTCAGTGCAGCCTGTGTTGCCGTGTAGCCAAGCAGCAGTTGAGCCTGCGTCATTTGATGATTGGGAAATACTGGTGAGTGAACAATAATAATAATATTAATTGTGGCAATTTGCACGAGCATCACTCATCATAAGCAACGAATGCTCATTCTACTTTACAGTATCAGCAACATAAAGCAGCAATGTTAATGTTATAAGTTATAGGTTTTCAAATTATTCTTAAATGTCTCTATTGAATATGAAAGTATCACAGTTTTCGGTAAACGTAGTGGTAGAAAAACCCATAACTCACAGCTCGTCATTTTGCTGAAGGTCAGCAAAAACATTTCTTTATTTTTCTAAACAACTACAACAACTGCAACAAATTTCTGTATAGAGGTTTGGTTGTAATAGAGCAGTATGTGTGCCAAAATATTTAGCTTTACTAAATGCATCACCCTGTGGCAGAGGCAGATCCATTGAAAAATCTTGGTAGGGGTTGTGCAATGCGCGAAGCAACGACAAAGAGTGAGGGCGGTGGTGCTTGAGATTTTTATTTGGAAATGCTTTAGTCCAAAATTAGTCTTGGAGTACTGTGCACCCCTCTTTCTCTGTTATTTTCTTTTCTCATTTTTTCTATTTTTTTGTGTGTGTATGGTGTTCTAGGAAATATTGGAACATGGCAATTTTCTAAAAGAAGTAAAAAAAATGTTTTTTTTTTATAAATTACATTACATTTTTGTTGTTGGTATTCTAGGAACTAAATGCAAGTTATGTTGAAACCAATCTTCTCAGTCAAGTTCGTGTTATTTGGCCAAACCAAGTTTTGCCAGTTTGGATCGGCAAGAAGATATGTATATTTATTAAAATAAGTAAGTTTTATTCAGCTTTTATTGGCTTTCTTGTCACATTTGAATTTTAAATATAATAGTCTGTCTGGAGTGCCTATCAAACTTAACATGTGCATTTCTAACAAGCAAACGTTGTGACACATAAACGCACATGTTTGCATGGTTTAACACCATCATGTTGTGGGACTGTAACAACAATGTCACAGGATTGGGGTTTAGCCAAAAGGTTTATTGTAAATGGGAATATTATTTTGTTGACAAACAAAAATTGATATTATGGTATCTCTATTAGATATATCATAGGCAGCACATAGCTGAATTAAGATTACAAAATATCTAAAGAAAATGTAAATGAAATTGAGTTAACAAGATAATTTAAAGTATATAAATCACTGCCAAGCCAAACGACAAATAAACAACACATTTTAACAAAAATCACACACTGAACAAAGAACCCGAAGGACAAGTCATAAAATTGAAATTGAAAAGTATGTATTATTGCAGTTTTATTGTTATTGTTATATATTATTAATTATTTATTATTATTATTCAGTAATATTATTTTGCTGTAAAGGTTACTAACCTAACACCGGGTCTTCTCTAGAGTCCAAGAATGAGAGGGTTATAGAAGTTAAATATTTTACACACTCATTATGATTTTAAAGATAATTTTTTTTTCTACGAGTAGTATGTGCAGTACCCATTAGGACAGTCTTTTAATATTCTCTGAGGTTGCTGTTTCCTGGTATTTTGTCGATATTTTTTTATTGTTAATCAAAAAGCCTCTTGTAACATTATATTTATGTATGTTTATTCATTATATATTTCTCTTAACTTCAGGTAGCATTGAGCCAGATGAGAAATGCATTCGTCTGGAACCCTACACAGAGCTGGCTATCATCCCAAAAGCTAGATCGACAAGTTCCCACTCTACAAGCCCGCATACTCCTATAGCATCATCAACTGACAGGGTTACAGCTAGTTCCGGTCTAAGCTTCTCTACTGATTTTAACATACCAAAAACTGTGGGAGAAGGGAGTTGGCCTCTAGCTAACACTGAGAGTCCATCTAGCCTAGCCTCCATAGATGAAAGTATGACATCTGGCTATGTTAGTGATTACAAATCTACAAGGAACTTTCCTCATTACAGAGGCCAAGTTAGTGAAGCATCAGAGAATGTTGACATGAATGAAGAAGACCCAATAACTGATCAGGAACAGGACAGTTCTCTTCCCTGGGCTTATCGTCTGTGGACTTACATAAAATCGTTTGTTTTTACTGAAGACTCTGGAGAGAGCGCTATAGAACAAGGGAAGCTCTCACTAGACAAAGAGAGGCAAAAAGCCATAGCAACAGAGCTACTCAAAGATTGTAATATAGTTGCACGGGTTCATCCATTAGTAGAATCCTATGAAAAGTCCGTGTCAAATAGTAAAAGAATGGAAGGTAATGAAACAGAAGTTACTGAGAACTCTTATTCGCATTTGATGCAACCGACGACTGTGTACCTGTCGTCAAGTGCTGAGGGAGCCCTCATTGATCTGCCAATAGACCCAAGCAGACAGAACAGCTTACCTATCCAAGAATATGTGAGTTTTTATGCAATAATAACCAAGTTGAAATCCCCTAAAGAACGTCAAGAAGAGTTGAGACAAAGACAGAATTCAAATTCAACAAAGATTAGCAAAACCAACCGTGAGAAAACATTGAAAACAACTGATGATGTAAACGTTGAAGGCGTGAACAAAGGCGAGGAGGAACCAATTTCAAAATTACCTGGTATTAACACAGACTATGCTGCTGTGAGGGTGGTTATTAACAGCCAAGATATTCAAATAAGGCAGAGGTCGTCTGGCGAAGTTTCGCCATACATGGTGCTTGATGATGCTAGTCCCTGGACGCTCCAGATCTCCGACCTTCTTCGGCGGCAGCTGAGGCTTGCAGTTACAGCAAAGGTCCTGATTCGACCAATCACTGAATCACCAAGCGTTATGCAAGCTATGACTCTGTATCCATTATACCGTGTGGTATGAAATTCTCTGAAATTGAATTTTCTATCTGATCGCAAGTAGACCCTTTTTAATTCCAGATCAGAGCATTCTATTGAAAATATACAAATTGATAATACAAATTGATATATAAATTTTTTTTTCCATAAACAATTACTATCGATGATTGTTTTTTTTATATATATTAGCAAAGTGAGTTAACACCTGCTGTAATTGAGGGCGCTTTCCACCAGTGGTTGTCTTGTGTTAGCTGTATGATTTGGCCGATACCAATTTGTGGGGGTAGCTCACTCTTGAAGTTTCCCGTTCCAGGTTGTGATGGTAAGATACAATTACTTTATAATAAATATGACAGAGTATAATTGATGGGATGACAATATATGACACAAATGTATATGGTAATAAATAATAGAATAATATAACTCCAAAGTGACAATAACAAGAAGTCAACAAAGTCAATCACAACTATGAGCTATGTGTCTGGCTTAGAGGTGATGTCCTGCTTTCTATACCATAGGCCCCGGTTCAAAACCCGGCTAGTCATTTTTTTTTTTTTTTAGGCAAGACTTTTTTTCTTTCCTTGTTTTGCGTACCTGTTTTTTTAAAGATCATCGGAGGAGGAGCAAATAATTTTGCCAAAAACATTCAGGAGAAAATAAATATAAAATTGTATTGATGAATGTAAAATAGGATGGTTAAAATGCTTCAAATTTATATAATTAGGAAGAAATAATAATACATATTTTATATTTAGAGATTTCAAGGCAGCAGAGGGCATAATAAAAATAAAGAAAAACTTCTTTTTTTTTTTCTGAAATTTCCACTTTTCGTGGCGGCGGGTGCGCTAATTGAACAAAAGTAGCAGGTTCGCTAAACAAGTCATAAAAAATGTCTTGCCTTAGTCTGGTTGCGAGACTCCTTAAATAATCTTCACATTGTTAGTGGGGCGGGTAAAGGCCAACTCAGACAGCGTCGTACGACGCAGGTCAACGCGATTTGTTTTCGCGTCAGGTCTGTGTGAGTTAAACGCAGACGCAATGGTTTGCGTCGGGGGCAGTCGTGATGTAGAATATTAAACATGTTTAATATTTCTCATGACGCCGTAAGACTGTACCCAACAATGAATCGCGTCGGCTTGCATTTTACGACGCTGTCTGAGTTGGCCTTTAGGAACATGTTTATATGTTTGTAGTTAAATCAGGTGGACCCATTCCAAGTTTCTAATTATGACAAAGAATAATTACTATTATTATTGTAATTTTGCACAGTATAATATTCCAACTCCTAGACCATATCATAAGGGCCTGCCGCAGTAATAGCGCTGCACCCAATTACTCACGAATATTTTTGGTTTTTCTCATCAGGTGATCAAGAAGAATTCGTCCTCACAATAAATGCAGAGCAGAATAACTCGGAAGCCAAACAACAAACTTACTTCCTTCTACATCCTTTCATTGCAAAGAAAGTCAAGTGTGCAGTCTGTGAAGTCGCCCTCTGTGATACTATGGCTAGTCTTCCTCCCAGGACTACAAGTCAGATTGACCCTGTAGTGGCTGGATTCAGACTAAGAGATCTTGGGTTGGTACATGTGTATGAACTACCACAAATCATAAAGTTTATTCATTATAAGAATACTATAAAGCACAGGTGGGCAAAAGTGGGGCCAAGCAGTGGTTTTATTGATTTTTATTGCCTGTGAAAATAAATTAACCCTATGTGTGTGGCCTGCCAACCATATTTAACTAGAAAACCCCTTACAATTTTGAGTGCACCCCTCAGTGTTGAATCAGAATATAGAATTCACTTGGCGCTCCGACCCTTTTTTTTATGCCCACCTCTGCTATCAAGTGTGATAATAACACTGTAACATTGGTGTCATACTATAGTATGCACATGTGTTAATGTATTTATTTAGTGCAACATTATAATCTATTCAGAAGAGCCTCAACATTTTGAAAAACGGCCAATATCTATAATGTTATTTTACGAATTCAAAGTTATGCCCATCAACATACTCAACATAAATATATATATGTGAAGACAAGCCAATTACCAGTCACTTCTCGCAAGTCCTGTTTCAGAGATAATGCCAAACATGCTGAAATGTCAACATTTTTGAAATCTATTTTATTACACTAAACTAACCTTTATATATCATGCTATGCTGCTTTTCTCCTCATTTTCAATATTAAAACTAAAATTTTTAACGATTTGGTGTTGATTTCTGCCTCAGAAGTGCCCGAAAAATGATAAACTTTGAAGGCTGATTTCTAAGCTGTATGTTTAAACTCCTGTAACTTCTCAATGAAATGTCGGATTTAAATGATTCATTTACCATTTTATAACTCTCATTTTACTGTTTAACCATGTTTTAATAACTAACAATTTTTGCGACGAGTGACTAGTTTGGCTTGTCTTTGCCACATATATTATCAAGTAACCATAAAATAACTACATGATGGCTTAGTGTAACAAAGACCATCTCTAGAACAAGTCTTGTTATAAAGCTTCAGTCAGATGGTGTTCATAAATGGTAAGAAATTCCACCTTCTCAATGTTCAATGATTTCAAAATAAATCATTTACATCAAGGTGATCTATCTTTTGACATCTTTTCTTCCAGTGGTGTATCAGAGTTGGGCCAATCTGGTCTGAACCACATCAAGACCTCACTAGCTATCAGGCCCCTGTCCCGGCAGGTATGCTCTGGTCTACCTGGTCTTCTTCAGGGTGGTTTGATAATAACAGGGCCAAAAGGCAGTGGGAAGACTACACTAGCTATGGCCCTGTGTCGGGAAGTTATGTCCTGGCCTCAGCTTGTCTATGTTAACGTGTTGGAATGCAAGCCTTTGAAAGGTAATTTGTTTGTAAATGATTGAATTATAATATCCTTTTCTCATTCATGTCTACAATAATGTTTGTGGTATATATTATGTCAATCAGTCATCAAGATTTGTGCGCAAATCCTATGCTATAGGCAGCCTACATTATGTCAAGTAAGAAAAGAAAACTGAAGAAATTGTCCGAATAGTGGATTGGCGATTTCTATATCCTGTGGTTTATTATATGTGGGACATAGCAGGGAGCAAGAATGTGGTGATATGACATGATTTTTAACTATTTCAGTGAAACTTCTTTCTCAGTAAATATTTAAACCTCTTTATGTGCCTTAGTACCTCAAAACTACTCTAGCCATTTATACAATGTAGCATGTGAGGCTCTGTGAACTATGACACCTTAGAAGTGGAGTTGTTTGTAGTTGTGATCCAGAATAACAACCGATAGGACTCGAACCTAGAACCCTGAGATTTGAAGTCCGGCATCAGTTAGTTGTGTCACTCCTATTCAATACTGTATTTGTTGATTTACACTCTCTTAAAGGCAAACGGGTTGAGAGTGTCCGTCGGAGATTAGAGGAAGCTTTCAATGAAGCTGCTTGGAGGCAACCATCTTTGATTCTACTGGATGATCTTGATCAGCTGACAGGGGCCCCTCTAGGGCCAGAGCAAGAGATAGGTCCTGATGCACTGTACAGCATGAGACTAGCTGAAGGTTAGTAACAACAACACACACACTCAACATTATGTGGATTCACCAATCACCGGATAGAACTATAATAGTATAAAGCGTATCATATCAGTTCCTCTCTGCATTTCACATTTCTCCGGCCGTTGGATTAAACCTTAAGAAAAGACATAATATGCTCCTTGGGGGAGAATTTCATAAAATTGCAACAACTAATTGACACATTCTGCTAGGTTGGTCATGTGATATATAGTGGGTACCAGTTGTAAACAGGCAGCGTGAGTGACGCGCGATAATAGGAACATGTGTGGCTTCTTCGGAGTGTTTCTGCTGTAAAACACATATATTTAATGTTGAATAATGTTGGTTGGAATGCCAGTAACTTTACCAAATTGATTGGAAGTTTAAAATTGAGGGTTTTGCCATAATGGTTTGCTAGTGCTCCAAAAGATACTGGTCGCAAATATACAGATTTTTCGAGAAATGCTAGGCCTAGTCCTCTGCATATCTACGGCCTGTTTAGGTATTCACAAGAGTCTTCGATCCGCGATTCTGACAAGCTACAATTTCTAGGCCAGCTAAAGTTTACGAAGGATGACATAAATTCCAAAGCATACAAAGCACATTGAGCATTAGAATAAGTACAGACACTATGTTGAACAATCGTAGTGCCTTTCCTCGCCAGTTATTTCCCACGTTAATTGTCGGCGGTTGTTTTGGCAACCATAACATGCACTTTCCTATACTTTAACACTGATCGCACTTTAAATTCTCCATAGTAATATCCACTATATATCACGAGACTGGCTGTAAACAAGCCTCGCCAAATGTGTCTATTAACACACTGGTGTTCAGATCTACTAGGCACCAATTTGAGTTTTTGATGATCTACAAAATTCCACAATAGCTTGGAAATTGATCAAGTGAAGCTTATCACGTACATAGAGCCCTCAATTTCATATATTTCAAATCTGTATATGAGGCTTTAAATATTAAGTAAAGTTGTTATTCATTAAAACTTAAACTTATTACCCAAAATATATTTTTGGATATTTAAGTATCAAAGTTTTAATTTCTCCACCTTATCTTCTGTTTTTCCCTTTGTCTTTCAAAGATAGAAACTTGATGAAAACGTTAAAAAACCTTTAAATTCCTAATCAAGATTCAGTGGACTCCTAAAAGTCACTAGACTACTTCAAAAAATCAGCAGATGCTGTAAACTAGCCAACAAAGATTTGTAGGCCTACTATTTGCCCAGCTTTACAGTAGAATTATAATACACTTGTATTTACCAGGAGTAGAATAGACACAAAATCATTACGTTGTATATCTGTTCTTATACTATTAAGTGTTGAAAGATTTGATGTCAGCTGAAATCAGGCAAGGCACTAGAGTTTGTGTTCTGGCAACCTGTCTCACCAAGACTTCACTTCACCAAGGCCTAACGTCATCTAGAGGCACACACTTCTTCCAGCACTGGATAGACATTCAGCCAATGGACACGGTGAGTTGTCTCCCCTTAAATTTGTATTTGTTAATTTCTAAAATTCATGGTGTTGCAATTGAAATTAGACAATTATTTTTTCTAAGTAACAGTTTGTTTTGTCCTCTGTTTCCTTTTTCCAAATCTCTGTATAACATATTAATGTAAACTGTAAAAATGTTATTATTTGACTTGATTTGATTCAGCTCTATACAAACACATTTTAAAACATGATTATCATTTTCAAAAAATATTACATCCAATTTCAAATTACTGTTATTGCTCTCATTATTATCACCATCATTAGGTGTATAAATTTAGATGTGTATTAGTTTAATTTGATTGGTTTTCCCCTCTTTAATTTTTTTTTTCATTTACAGACAAAGCGGGAAGAAATGCTGTCATCAATGATTCAATCCAAAATGGAGATTGACCTCCAAAGCCTTGATGAACTTGACCTTTCTGTCTTAGCAATGAAGACCGAGGGATTCGTAGCAAGAGACTTGATGACAGTGCTGGAGAGGGCGATACATGCAGCCTGTAGTCGAGAAATGGTTAATGGAAGTTGGCCGAACAAGGCAAACCAAGGTATGCCGTTATAAATATGTAGAGTTGGGAGCTGGATGCTGGTCACATTGCTATGTCATGATTCTTTAAATGTTTGTCTCTCCCCATCCAAAAGTATGAATTGTTGGGAGACCTGGTAGGATGTGAATAATTTAAAAGGTAGCTGTAGGAGAATAACCGATAACTTGAAGCATCATTGTGCTGAATTGCACATGGGCATAGTTTACGACTATCTAGCTGACTTAAATAGGTGCCTGTAGTAGCAATGGGGTAACCCCCTACACTTCTGAAAGGTACCTTGGGTTCCTTAAATTGCACACAAGCCAGAGAAGACATTGAACATTGTTCTGCCAATAGATCCCTGGATAAGAAGCAGATTCAACCAGCGCTATTGTTAAGAGTGTAGTTAGCAGTGCCCCTGCATTACCGCTTGTAGTCATGCTGAATTATAGATGGCACCAAAAATTCTTTTCAGGGAGCATAAAATAAAAACACTGTGAAATAGGGAAAAGAGCATTCAGTAGTTTGATTGTTACTGTAATGTTATGAAAGACATTTAGAGATGGGAGGGTGCTGTTACTTTCACCATTTACCTTGATTTTTTTTGGTTAATTGTAGTGTAGTTTAAATTTAAAAGAGAGTGTGAGAGATGTATTTGACATTTAGAGGAACAGTTTTTTGTTTATGTTTTTCGATTCCCTCTGGATATGCCACTAATTGCAGACTCAACATATATGGTATAATGGACATTTTATAGCACTATTTGTTTTTTTGGTGTAGATTCATCCAATGAAAACAATGGTATAATCCTGATTGAAGAAGATTTTGAATGTGCAATAAAAAACTACACTCCAGCAACACTACGGGATGTTCCATTACACAATGCAGGGGAGTTGGGGTGGAAAAATGTTGGAGGACTAACAGAAGTCAAAAAGACTTTGATAGAAACTTTACTTTGGCCAGCAAAGGTATATATACTTGGTACAATAGAACATGTTTTTTTTTATGATCCCAAGATTTGAAAACCATTTGTACTATCAGTTATTATAAATTGCATAAATTTATGTAAAAACAGAGTGACGAAGAAAAAAAAGGAAAGAATGAAGGTGATATTTAATATCAGGACAGAAAATAGTATTTGCTGTTTATGCAAAATAAAATTGTATTTTTCTCTCTCTTTTGTGTTAATGCAGTACCCACAGCTTTTTAAAAACTGCCCATTAAGACTGAGGTCTGGTTTATTGCTGTATGGCCCTCCAGGAACAGGAAAGACATTGCTAGGGGGAGCTGTTGCAAAAGAATGTGGCTTGAACTTCATCAGTATAAAGGTAAATTGAAAGAATACATAAGGCAACTATAATTGGCACTAAAAGAATGAATAAAACAGTACATTGTGTATTTCAAAAGTGTTATAGTTAAAACAGGTTTTCATTTTGAGCTCCAGCTTACAATAACCAAGGCCATTTGCTGTCAACATACTGTATATAAGTGAAATTAAATTAACAATATTATTTAGTGTTAATTAGCACAGATAATATTTTCTCAAAAAAATGACTGCCTGTGTGTTGTGAGGTGCCTATGTAGCGTTTCTGCAAAGAAAGGCGCTTTATAAATGACCTGATTGGATTGGAGTATAAAACCTCTCTCATAGTAAGCAATTGTGATATTATTTTCAGTTAATTTATCAAGTTGCTTTACCTCAACCTTTTTAAAAATTGTTTTCCAGGGCCCAGAGTTGTTAAGCAAGTATATTGGGGCGAGTGAGCAGTCTATTCGTGACCTGTTTAGACGTGCTCAAAGTGCAAAACCTTGTATTCTCTTTTTTGATGAGTTTGATGCCCTAGCACCCAGGTATATTGTGATTATGTTTTTTTTTCTAGCAAAATGTTGTTTTTTTTGTGTCTAAGCATTCATCCTGTTAAATTGAAGAATGTTCATATTTCTCAATGCTATACAATTTTATTGTTCGATAGGCGTGGTCATGATAGCACTGGTGTAACGGATAGAGTTGTCAATCAGCTGTTGACTCAGCTAGATGGTGTTGAAGGTTTAGACGGAGTGTATGTAATCGGAGCAACCAGCAGACCTGATCTCATTGATCCTGCCCTGCTACGTCCAGGCCGACTTGATAAATGTCTTAATTGTCCAATTCCAAATAAGGTATACTAGCTTAGCTAGATAATTTAAGGATTTTCGAAATCGTTATGAAACTTTGTAAAAAATACAGGAGCAATTCTGTGGTTACTTATGTTACATTTTGATCAACCAATGTTAATCTGTGCTTTGTAGGATTTAATTTAGTTTTTTTGTATAATGATGTCACCCAAATATGGCCATATCACATTTATTTTCACATCAAATATGTGAGGTCTCACCGCGAAATGAGACGCATGGTTGGTGAAATATTCACCAAAACAGGCCAAAGTCAACATTTTAACAAAATTTTGATTTTAATGTTTTTTGAAAAACTTGGTACTTATATTTTATGATTGTATACTTTGTAAGTGAATTTTCTTGCCAAAACAGTGTTCTATGCACATATTCTGTAATTCTAGTCATATTATTTGTACAGGTTTGAGGCTGATTTTCTCATAACATGGTTCTTATACTCCTAAACTTTAAATGCTCACATCTCTGGATTTACTTATAGTAGGGAAGCCATTCAAAGACCAAATGAAAGCTTATAATGTGATCTACCTCAATAAATAATAATAAATAAACTCAATTTTTGAATTTCTAACCATGAGACTCATTTTGTAGTGGGACCTCACATAGTCAGGACAGTGCTTTACCCAATATTATAAATATTACAATTGAAATTTTAAAAAATCAACAAATGGTTTATGTCACCCTTTAATTTTAATTCACCGACAAAATTTTACTAAATGCTGCGTTTTTTGGGGGTTTTTTTAAACTTTTTTTGCCTTTTTAACATTTAGAGCAAACTTTTTCTATACCTATGGAATGTATATTTTCTTTGTTAATTTTACATAGTAGGATGTGTAATAAAGATCAAAAAAATTGATTGTAATACTGTAATACAATTTTTATTTTTTCCTCATGTCCGTCAACCTAAATATAGGAGCGTGTGGTGCTATGTGTAAGGTGTTGGACTTCTGATTTTGAGGTCAGAAGTTTAAGACCGATGCTCATCGCATTGCTTGTGTCCTTGGGCAAGGCACTTTACTAACGTTTGCCTCTCTCCACCCAGGATTATAAATGGGTACCTGGTAGGATGGTATGGCATTGAATGTATGGGTTGTGCGCATTCAAGCGGCAATGACCAGGGATAATCTCCAGGGAGTAGAGAAAGTTGCAGAATGTGCGGATCTGCCAATTCAATATTAAGTGACCAGGAAAATAATGATGCCAGCGCCTTGTATAATTGATTTTCAAATCTGCGGATTGTGAAAGGCGCTATATAAATTATGGCTCTATAAAAAAATAAATAAATAAATAAACAACTAAACAAACACACACATATTTGTTTATCTATTTATTTATGTAATACCAAACTATGCTAACATAAATTTTTTTTCCTTTCATTGCAGACTGATCAGCGTGATATTCTACATGCGTTGTCTATGAACATGACCCTCGACGATGACATCAACTTTGACAATATTATCGAACATTGCAAGTTCTTCACTGGTGCCGACTTAAAAGCTTTGCTGTATAATGCTCAGCTAGATGCAATCCACTCCCAAATAGCGCCCTCAACCAAACAATTAAGCAGCGAACGTCTCTCACCGCTTCACATGAAGTCGTGTCGCAGTATGGAGGCTGACGAATGGAAACTAACATTCCTAGACAGTGCGTCGTTCGATGATGGAATCACTCTCCAAAATCGCGCTGCTATAAGTAAATCGCAAGTTAGAAAAGCTTCGGTGCCGAGTGATCCGGATGTCGCTTTGAACCCTGTGGTGGAAAGCTCTGGGTCTGATTCAGATTCTGCTAGTTTTATCCGTCTGAGCCAGAGTGAGGAAGAGTACAGTAACTATGGTAACAGTGGTAAAGGCACACCACCAGGAAAGCATACACCAAGTTTAAGGGATATCGCAGCTCTTAGGCTTGAAAGGTCACCTCCGCTTGTTGAGGTTGAAGGTTAGTTAATATTTTTAATAATTTAGTGTGAATGCTCAATGTTTTTTGCCTCTGATATAATTTTGATTTTCATTGTAAGCAAATCTTTTGATGTTTTTAAAGTACCTTTAATGTAAATCCTGAATGTTTAAGGCTTTTAAAAATTTGAATTTAAATATTTTTCATGTTAATACTCTCAATATTTGTCATTGTTCAAAAATTGTTGTAAATATCATTTTAATTCACCATTATGCTGCAGTTTTTTATATCTCAATAAAGAATTGAAATAAAGAATAAAGAATACAGTATATAAATAAGAAATATTTGTTTTTATAATCTGGATTTAGATATGTTGGAGAATATAGACGAAGACCTGTTTGACTTGCAAGGGCTGTATCCAGAGAGAAAACAGGAGCAGAGGCTCATATACATGCCAACATTGCGAGACGGCATCGTGGACATCTGTGCAGAAACGCAGGAGAGAATCGCTAACCAGGTTGCATTAATAAGGAAAAACCACCTAGAGAAAATGTCTGGTTATCTGGTAAATCACACTTTTGTTTATACTAAGTAATAATCAAATTTTCAAATGTTATTGAGGGGGAGGGGCCTTTTACATACAAAAATAAAAAGGGAGAAAAAAATTTAGAAGAGTTAAAGGGAAAATAGAGGGGAAAAAAGGAAGTGTACCCATGAGTTCACTGGTAGAGCCAGTAGTGGGCGAAAGGAGAGCTCGATTATTTTACCACTCGCTAATTATGAACTTTCAATTGATTGACGATGAACACAACGCAATATCCTTGGTGCCGATTTTTTCCAACGATTTCATAAATCAGAATGTCAAAAAGGGCAAAAGACGGAGACCTAAGACGAGTTTTTTTAGTCATTATTACAGAATGTAGTACCCAGCTAGAACAGCTATCCATGCTCAGTGGCGTAAAGCCTATGCGCTCTTGTGCGGCGCTCCGCAGGGCCACTAACGCTTACAGACCCCTTCAATGCCCCCCTAGGGTCTTTGCTCTATATCAACCAGATTCAAAAGGGCTTTGTTGATACATAACAGCATAATGTGTCACGGTCATCGACTGTAGGACATACAAGATAGTATAATACATACTCCAAGTATCGAAATGCATGCCATCGTGCCGGGATTCAATATTTCGACATTAATTATGTCATCATCAGGGACATATGTCGTATTAATTCAGTGCGAGTGGGGTGCCCAGATGGCCAGAACCCCCCCTTCATTTGTTAAATTTAAAAAAAAATTGAGATAAATATTCAAATTTTAAGTCTGAATGAGGGCGTGTTTCCAGGCATTTAGAGGTGCCATAATCATAATTTACTTGGCGACTCTCAGTATAGAATAGACTATAGATCCTTGATTAGACCTTTGCAACGCCTGTGAGTGGAGGGGTGTCTAAGGAATGAGAGTGCCATTTCTGAAAGTCTAGAGGAGCCTATTCTTAAAATGTGTTCACCTCAGCCACAACCATGATTGGGCTGAGGTGTGTGTGGACTACCTATTGCCCCTGAAAAGTCCCTGTACATATGTTTATACTACAGGGAGGAAACAAAGAAGAAAATAATGATGCACCTGAAAGTCATGTGGTCAAAATCAGTCAATCAAATCTTGTGAAAGCTGTCAACTCCATGAAGCCCTCAGTGTCGGCAAAAGAGAGGCAACGATATCAACAAATGTAAGAATTTTTATATGCTAATAATAAAAAAAACAAAAAAAAAACACTGACTTCAAAATGATACTATTTGTTTTATTCTTTGACTATTGTAACATATAAAAATTGATAGCAAGTAGCGGTCTAGACATTCAATTGAGCTCAAATCTTTTACACAAGATCCGTAATAGTGCCCTCTATTTGATTATACACACACAAAAAAAAAAAACATTAAAGATGGATATTTCCGTCTTTAGAGCTCAAAGTGTTAAGGACCAGAATTTTAGTTGATTAATCCACTTGTTGGTATATTCACAAAAATTGTAATAGCGATGGTAGGTATCGCCTGTTGGGGTTATGATGTCATTAAAATATAAATAACAATAATATCAGATGTATTGTCCCATGCAAAATACAAAAAAAAAAATATATATATATATATATATATCATTTTGGAAATCAACTTTTTCATTTTGAAGCAACATAAAAAATATCAATCTGAATATAGAAACTATTGTACGTAAAAATGTTTATCCCATAATTTTGGAGTGAAAAACGATAGAAACACTTCTAGTCAATGGAAATGTTTTATTTTTTTTATAATATAATTATGCCTATATCCAGATTTAAAATCAGGGTACATATTTTTAAAATTCAATAATTCCTATACCCAAGTTAATCACTTGTACTGTACTGCAAAATGAGCAAATTAATTACAAAATTATTTTATTATGATTTTTTTTTGTCATTTTCGGGGACAATACAAATATATAATATTTTTTTTTTTATGTTGATAAAAGTCCAAAAAACACAAGCCCTGAAACCCCAACATTTTCAAATCTATGTTTTTGTTGATTTTTGGGGGGGCATAATTATTTTATTCACTCCCAAGGAGCATGAAAATACCAGTAAAGTGTATAAAAATCTCCTTTCAAGTTTAAAACATTAATTTTGCACATTGCAAGCTTTGATATTAATATTGTTTGTTTGACTTTCCTTCTAGTTGTCAGTATACCTAGTTATTAACAACATAAACATTTTTTTCCTTTTGTAGTTATGAGTCATTTGTGAACTCCAGGGGTGGCAACTTCACAGGACAAGAAGGCATCACTGGTAAACGTGCCACACTTGCCTAATGACCAGCAATGTCAAGATTAAGTTTTTAGCAGTTCCGTCCTCGTATATTGTTTATGTTGTTTGCGATGATACATCCTGCAAAGGACTTCAAGACCCATAACTGCAGGATAACAGAGGCTGTATGGACCTGTAATGCACCGGAGTACCCCCTACTCATCTCAAAAGATGTACAGTACAGAGTTCTTTAAAGTGCACATGAGCCAATTGTGTACACTGGTTTATAATCCTTATCCTAGAAGACTTGGTCGACCACCAGAACCATAGACAAGCATTTACCGTTTGTACCAGTGCTGATATTATGACTGTAGTTTGCAGCTTCCCTGCCTTAACAGCTCGGCCATTCGACTTTTATCTATGACTTTAATAATTCATTAAATCTATGTTGTCATTTTTCGTTGAGAAAAATCCTGACTGAACTTTATAATTTGGAATAATGTACAGTATTAACTAGTAAACCATAGTTACACTCGTAGTACAGTATTTGAAATCCACTCTGAAAAGTGATATTTTCAAAATGTCAATGTCTTAAATATTTGTGTAAAAATTATTATAGTTGGCAAAATGGATGCATATATTTGATAGGATTGCAAGAGTAATGAACAAATATATTTTATGTATGCAAGTAATGTTATTAATGGTTTTAAGAAAGCCCTTAAGACTTGCTTGTTACTTATAGCACTTTGATCCATTCTCTGACACGACTGTCCCCGACACAGACCAATCGTGTCTGCGTGTAAATCGTACAGATCGGGCTGTACTGTGCACGACACTCTTCGAGTTGCCCTTAAGATTGATAGGCTGTGAAGTGGTCCATGTTATGTGTCTGGTCCAAGCATGCTACGAGCTTCAGACTTTGTGTAGTGTTAAATTATTAAAAAGATATAATTTAATGTATCTTAATGATTATCAACAACTAAAAGTACCATGGTTCTTTTTAAGGGTATTAAAACATTATTCTTTGAGGAACAGTGTGACTGTGCAATCATATACACAAATTTTTAAATTATTTTCATAAATGATGAGTGATGTTTACTGAGAAACTGCCCTTGAGTTCAATGACTAAATACAGTATTGTAGAAAAGAAAATTGTTGGTAAAATGTGATATGCTGAAGAAATACAGTTAATAAAAATACAATGAAACATTTTATCCTTTGTAAACAAAGTTGTTTATTTCAAATATTTACAAAATTAAAAATGCTTCTTTACCTGCATAGCCTCCCCATGATATAAGTTTTTTTCTGAAAATTGATAAGTAGGAGTTTGAAACCAATCAAACTTACCAAGCTTTAGTTATCGTGGTAACAAACAATAGCAAGAAATACTGTATTACAATTTATTATTTAATTAATTATTTAATAATTATGCAAATGTACAGTTAGCATATTCATACACATACCAAAAACAAGATTCCATCGCTTTATTGCTATCTTGCATTGTGCCAAATTTTAGTTACCCTGGTAACTAGCACAAAGTTCCTGGTTAGTGAAATATTAATTACGCATATGAGCAATTAGCATATTCACACATATACTCCAAAATACTCAAAAATTTGTTTTTGGTGGTAACAAACAATTTACTACTAACAACAAAAACACTGGAAATAAATTAACATTCGTTGATTTTATGGATTGGCAATTTCTCTCTATTTTTTGTATGTCCTTGTTTTTTACTATGTTGAACCATGTTTGAATGGATGCTAAATACATGAAAAAGAACACAAGTTAGAACCAATGGAAAACAGGCAAAAAAATAAATTGCAAAACTCAAAAATTGTGACTAGGATAGAGCAGTATAAATGCTCAAGGCTATAATAAATAATACCGTAGTGCAGTGTAATGTTTCTCCATGGACTCACATAGCTTTTGCTTTCTTTTTTCTCTTTTTCTTCTTTTTTGACTTAAATTTCTTAGGAATGATTTTAACTTTTTCTATCTTGGCTAACTGGTACTCTATTTTTATGGGCGAGACAGAATTTTTCATGTGCTTCTTTTGCTGTTCACTAAAACTCTCCTCACTTGACCTCTTAACCCCTAAGGGCAGTGGTTCAATATGATCCACTTCCTGATTTTTCTGTGTCTTGGATGATGTCCCTTCATCTCCAGTTTCTCCCTTTTTAGAGGCTGTTCCTTGAACTACTGTTCTGGTAGTAAGTATATCCCTTGGATGATCTATTTTGAGTTTTTCTAGACTAATTTTGCCTTCTTGAAGCCAGGGTAAATTTACTTTGGGTGTTTTCTGTACAATCAGCTCAACAAGTTCCTCAAATACTGAGATTTCACCACTTGTTTTCTGAAAGGAAAAATACAAACAAGCAAATAATGCTAATGGTAATCCTTGGCCATGTGCCTATAAGAATAAAATAAAAAATAACACACATTTTATTTTATCTGTGCACAAGCAACAATACTGTACATTTCAAAGACTGCAAACAGTACAAAAATGTGCACAGATAACTTTAGTTACAATTATTTATTTATTTATTTATTTTTTATTTATTTGGTATAAAATACTCAAAATGCAACAAAGTTTGAAATACTTTTGAGTTTACAATAGGAAAAAATAAACATCAAATCACACACAAAATAAACACCAAACTTTAGGCCAATCAAATCACTTCAATCAATACACATTAATAAATAATTATAAATCTATATACATGAAAATTGTTATTACAAATTGATTATTTAAATATATATGTACAATTACAGACTTAAGAAATTGTTTGTAATATGAGTTAAGAAATATTCAAAATTTACTACATAGAGACAGTGCTGGAGACCGCACTAGTTGGTGGCCCAGCTGGGTGCAGGCCCAACCATTGGTTAGGTGATACCTGGACCAGCTGTCATGGTAAAATCTGTCGGGGAAAATTTTTAGTAAAATCACTTTCTAAGTCCGAGACAGCTAGTTTGAATGTGCCATTTCAGTGATGATGAGAGGTGAAAGCCAAGTATATTCACCTCAGCCCCAGCAAAGGTGGGGCTGAGGTAGGTGTGGCCCATTTGGTGGAGAAATGTTGATGCCACGGCTGCAAAGCTGACCTTAAATCCAATGGCCATGACAGTGTTCAGATTCAGCAATGGTGAAATAATTTCACTGAGTCTGAACAGACATAAAGCCGGTGTCTCTCTCGTGGCACTCAGCGTCAACAGGTGATTGGTCATGTGACTCGGTTTTGTTGAACGACACACAACAACACAACGAAGCAATCCTCTTTCAAGACCTCTTGTAACTTCGTTAATACCAATCAAAATCTGAGATCTAAGCAAACAATTCATAATTACTTTTAGCATCAGAGATGGCTGCTGAAACATGACCTTTAAACTTTCTGGACAGGATATTTCTGCATTTTTCAACTTTGTCATTCTCTTTGATTCATACACTAGCGCCACAAATATATTTAATTTTAAAATTTAATAAATAGTGAAAATAATGGTATTGGATTTTATCATCACCTTAAAAAGTAAATCAAATTTTGGTGAGGTTTTTTAAGCAGTTTTCTCTAAATTATTTTTGGAATATATCGCAGATATAGTCAGGTGTTGTTTAAAACAAATAATAAATGAATGTTTTTCATACATACAACTGGAAAGATTATTCTAATTAAGTGATAGATAAAATTCCAATTCTCACATATGAACATATTTTATTGCATTTCCGTCATTATTTGTAAAATATACACACTATAATTTCCAATTTTGTTAATATTTTACCTTGGGTTTATATTTTGACTACCTTCTTGAATTTTTGTTGCATGCTCACGATTCTTCCGACCCCTTGATTTCATTCTTGCAAGTTTATCTTTTAATGGTTCAAATGTTCTGAAGTAAAACATATCAATTGGATTAGATGTTAATGTATGGCATTTAGTATTTTTTCAGATACCGAGATGATTCAACAAATACTATATTCAAGGTCTTCATTCAGATTCAGATAAAAAAAATTACAGACAGCCAAAGGCTGTATATGAATGTATTACAAAAATAGCTATACAGTTAAAAAACACCAAAATTTAAGAAATTCACAACACAAAGAAAAAAAAACCAGGGATAAGAAGCACAGCACCAGACATAAAACCAAATTAAAATGAAAAAAAAAAGGAAGAGTTAAAAAATGCATGTAAAAAACACATGAATTAAAATTGAATAAAAGATTACAAACACAATTTACGTAGACAGCCAAATTCTTTTTTCTTTTTTTTTTTTGGGGTGGGGGGAACTTTGAGCCAGCCAAACACAAGAATTACCACATGGGCCAATAAGAAGGTCCAAGGTTGCCATGAGTATCAGGCAAGATAATAAAATATAAATATTTTTACAAAACGGAACTAACTGGAACCAAGCAAACGTGTCATATACGGTATAGCAGAGTTACAAAATCTATTTGTTCTACATTTTGGAACCTGCAGGTTATTAGAGTTACAGAGGTTACGACCATGTCGTGAAATATTAGACGGAGGTTATACATACAGTGTAAATAACGTAAGACTATTTTATACCTTATTTGGCGAAGTTATTGTTTTAAAGATCGTCAGAGGAGGGCAGAAAAAAATAAAAATTTTGTTTTCTTATTTAGGAAATAAGTTTTGTCAAAAACGGAGAAAATGAAAATACAAATGTTACAGGGTAGCAACAGGCTAGTTGAATGTTTTAAATTTATATAATTAGGATCAAAATATACATATCTTATTTTTGGAGATCTCAAGGCAGTGGCAGATGTCATAAAAATAAAAACTTTTTCTGAAAATTCCATTATTTTTTGTGGTTTTGGGTGTGCTAATTGCTCAAAAATAAATTTTATTTTTATTTGAATAAGGTATAAAAAAGGGTTTTGCTTAATTATTATTGCTATGAGATATGTTTTGGTTTGTTTCCTTGTTCTTTGTCCAAAATTAAATAACATTCGTAATTTGGAGATTTTGACAGGGAAAAAAACAAGCTTTTCATCTCAAAAATTGCAAAAATCATTGTTCCAAATCATTGACGCAAATAAATAAAATTACGAACTAATTCCAAACATTTATAAAGAAAACTGGTTATGAATTAATAAGTGGTTTTATTATTTATATAATTACCCTGTATCAAAATCACATTTTTAAATTCAATAATTCTATGCTCAAGTTAATTTTGTATGTTCCTGCAAAATTAGTAAGTTAATTCTTTTTTATAAATTTTAGGGGGCAATATATCTTAAAAAACACAGAATAAAAAATAAAAACTTTTGATTGAACAATGTGCATTTCTAGACTATACATTTACCTTTGAATGGCATTCAGTATATCTTGTGTTCCTCCCTTTTCCAGCAAAGGCCTATAGGGTTTTCAGGAAAAAAAAAATATATATATATATAATATACGTAATGATGGCTTATATTTATAATTGTCTGCAATCCCTAGTCTCCGGAACTTGCGGGAGTCTCCCGGAAATCAGGACGGCCTCCTGTTGAGAAACCAAATCAGATTGAAAGCAACTGATATTCACATTTTTTGCACATTTTATAGCGGAACAGCATTGTGCTAGATTTCTCTCAATCTCAGGATACTAATAAATAGCACAAGATGCGACAAGACCTCAGAAAATACTGTAGGCCTAGGCCGAGTTTAGCCTGTAGGCTATATTATAGGGCCTAGGCATAGGCCTACAGGAAAATGAATCAGAATTAATGCCGAATGGACAACTTATGAATAAAGTGATAAAACGCTAGACGCTTGCTAATCAAGCACTAACAAGAAGAGTTCCCCAAAGTAAGCCTATGATAGATCTAGGGCCTAGCTTAGGCTTAAGTTAAGGTCCAGGCTCAGCCCATTTAGATTATGCCTGTCCTAAAGGCCTAGCTGTAGATGATAGGTTTCCTCCATGGTTGGCCTGCTGTTGTATGTAGTTTGACCTAGCTAGGCCTGGGCTTTCCCAGCTCGGCCCTAGGTCAGCTTTGTTGAATTACCATTCTACGGGGTAGGGTGTACATAGAGTACTTTTTAGGGACACGATGTTGTTGTCGTCTACCATCATCAGCAGGTGTAGAGTCGTTTCAGCCTGGGGGTCTATTCGGCCCAGGTCGTTTCGGCCCTGAGTCGTTTTGGTATTTTTAATTTTCACGCATTTTTCGGCTGTGGTGTATAGAGCGCCGAGGTGCGGCCGCGAATAATAATTTAATAGAACAAGGTGGCTATATAAAGCATGCAGTATACCGTTTGTTAAACATCAAACTTAGGTATATTACTGGAACATTATCAGATATTAACAATTCTTTTCAGTTATAGTATTTTATTATTATTAGGTCTATTATTATTATTATTATTGTTATTGATTTGTTATTATTATTATTATTATTAATATTATTA